ACAGTCGCTCTTAATGCCTATAGGCAGGAAATAATAAAATATATAAGTTTCAAGAAGTTAGAATGAAAGCGCGAGATGAAAGTGAGATAAAAAAAGCTCAAATATCACTTGCGTAATTAACCGTTTTAACATGTTTTCGAACGCGTCCGAAAATAATTGCGAAAAAAATTTTAAAACTGACTACAATTCCAAAGTGGCAGCGTTTTTTGTTCATTTTATGAATGACTTCTACCACACAGAAAGTATGAAGGAATTCTGTAATCTTACGAAATTCGAGTGGTCGGTTTTTACACTGACTGTCTCTTAATTTTTCTATTTCAAAATAATATAAACTGACAAAGTATAATCATATAATGTAAAAGAAACCTGTGTTATCGTGAAATCACACGATATTATAAAATTGAAATAAAATTTAATTTGACATAAAAAGGCAAATGTACAACTATAATTTATAAAAAGACAACATATTGGTATCGTTTTTGTTGCATATGGCATGCAACTTTCATATAGCTCTAAATTTCGTGCCGTGTTCCGTGAGGGCAATTGCTAGATAGTATACTTCAAAATAAGGTTTCCGTTTTTATATCAATTTTTGTATCTGCGAAGCAGATATATTGCTATCGCAAACGTAATGTTAATGTTACCGTATCCCTAGCCATTCAGCGACGAGCTTATATAATTGAGCCAATTTAAGCCAATCAGCGATTAGTTTGCATCGATTGTTTACATCGTGCCCGCATTAATGAGCTGCCTATAAATAAACCCAATTTATCCTTTTCAAAATGGCGGCCTTTCGTGAGTGGGCAAAATGTTTCAAACAATTTCGTTAAAATTTTCAACGAATTGTACCGGTTTTCTATGGATTTTGCATTGCGTCTAACTCTGGGCATTTTTGCTAGTTTAGTTAATGCATTTTTCTTGGTACACGACTCTGAAAATCGGAAATTTGGATCTTTGAATTCCCGTGCACGATCATATTAAATATACTGAATCTGATTATAAACGAGCCAAAGACAATTACAAGGTAAAAGGTTATAACCTAAACTACACAACGTAGTTTTAATAGATAACTACTTTATGAGAAGCATATTGGTGTCATATCAATATAAAATTTATGCAGCAACAGTCCCTAATAGTTTATAGCTGTGGAACGTGAAAACTGTAGTGTGAAATATGATATTGTAATGTCTAATGACAGTGATGACACCTAATGTATAATGGCGCAATAAGGATAAAAATACCACCGTTCGATTCAGCGTAAGAAATTGCATTTACGGATGTCAAATGTATTACTAAACAACAGTGTTCTAGCGATTTATGGCCTTTGAAAATCAAGCGAAATTGTATATCGCTCGCAGTATGTATATAGGATATTTGCTAACTGACAGACAGACAAATCACTCACAGTACGTTTGTCTTTGTATTTGTGATCAGTCCTAATGGCGCAATACGGATAAAAATACCACTGTTCGATTCAGCGTAAGAAATTGTACTTATGGATGTCAAATTTTTACTAAACAACAGTATTCTAGCGATTTATGGAAATTGTGGCCTTTGTCTTTGAAAGCCAAGCGAAATCGTCTTGATAACTTTGGTATCGTTGGTTTTCTCTTTTTCGGCCGTATACCAGTGGATTCGTCTCACCTCACTCTTCATTTTGATAGTCATATTTTTATGTCGAACGTTTTAAAGCGCAGTTTAATCACGATACAAGGAGAGAGCATGCAAATGTTAGAATAAAAAGATTCACTTAAACGTCATAATAAAGTATTAATAGTGTACATTTATCTTGTGTAGTCCAAATTTCGTCCTATGCTATTCAATAAATAAACTTGATATTCTATCTCTCTGAAAAGGACAAAGTTCCGGTTCCGGCCATGGTTTTTATTAGTTCCGGCCGGAACCGGAACTCTCACAAATCAGGGTTCCGACCGGAACCGAGTTCCAGTGCACCCTAACATTGGCAACTGTAAACAACAAGTGACAGAACTTTTGCTGATCATATGATTACAATAAAGTTTTGAAACTTCATGGTTTGACAAGTGACAGTTTACTAAATAGCCGGCTGCTGTATAGACACTTCAAATATTGTTTGCATGACATTTTTATTTCTTGACTGCATAATTATGTTACAATCATAATCACATTTATGAAAATTAGTTACATTTTATTGGCGGGGGTGGGGGGGGGGCAGTTGTCCTTGCTGGTCTTATTTGCTATTATATTTATTATAATAATAAGTGATGAAATATTTCAATTGTCCCATGTCATCTTCATTATTCAGTTCTTTTCAAGGAAATACAAAATGTGAATCAAGCTTTTTCGCAGATACATGTACGCTTTGCGTACCTATTTTTAAAATAAGTTAGGGTTAGGTTAGGGTTTAGGTTAGGGTTTAGGTTAGGGTTAGAATAGGATTAGGGCGAGGGCTAGTATTAGGGTTAGAGTTTAGTTTTGTGTTAGGATAGTTTTTTTCTACGTTATAAAAACGGAAACCTTATTTTGAAGTATACTATCTAGCGATCACCGTTCGGTGAGCGTACCAGTCACGTGGCAGATTCGTAAAATACGACAAATACCGAGTTTCCGACGAGCATTTTCAATTTTTCATGCCGGGTTTTCGTCGAGGAAACGCAAAGAAAATTTATATATTGATTATTCGCCGAAAATTTACATAATCGAGCGCCTTAGAAAAATAAGTCGAGGTAGGTAAAGCTTTACTGTTTTAACTTACCTTATATTTTGTTATTTGTTGTGATTTTGGAGCCGTTGTGCTCGCACTGATTATTTATCAACTATCACGCGTTTATATTTATATATCGTGAAAGCCTCAAAGCCGCGAACGCTATCAAAATACTCGATTTTTATATACTCAAACTGAAACGGAGCCATTGTGCTCGCACCGATTATATTGTGTGCAAAGCTTCAAAACTACAGCATATTTTGTAAACAACATGAAATATAAATATCAAACACAATTTAAATTATAAATAGTAATACAACTGAAATTGAGATTGAAATATACAACGAAATAGCAACCATTGTGAAGTACGCATAAGATTCAACATGCATTCCATATAGTGTAAATTAACTCATTTCAATCACTCAAACGTCAAAATGATAAATATTCATTTTCAATCTATTGTAGTAATTCACCGTTTCCACGCGTTTTTTATACCCATTAAAAAGTTACAATAAAGCTATATCTATAGGAAATAACGTTATTTAGTTATTAATTTGTAAAGTAAATCTAACAGTCAATCGCTTTTGATAAAACCTTGACCCGCCTTGACATTGAAGGGGCCCAGTTAGTCAAGTAAGTATTGTTTACATTTTTGTTATTGTCGCTACTTGACATGCGCATCACGGCATGCATGCGTCTTCCGGTGTGCGGAAGTAGTCATATTCATGGATACTGCATGTAAGGTACAGCCAAACGAATCTCCGTGGAGTCCCCTACTTAAGGTGGCTTTTCGACTAAAAAATGACTGTAGGGTCCCTTACGCGATTACACTATACCGGATTGCATCGAAGCGACGCGATTTCTGTACCGGATTGGCCTCTTGTTTACACTACGCCATTATAATCCGGTACGTGCCGCGGCGTGAAAATCACTTTGCTTTGGAGGTGATATGAAAAGTAATCCGGTACGTGCTGTACCGGATAAAACCAAGTGTAATCAGGCAATCCGGTACGCTCCGGTAATATAAATAGGTTTCGGCAAGTATATTTTAACATTGTCGTTTTATTTACTCGCTTTTTAATATTTTATAGCTGTTGTTTGCTTCGCTTTACAATTATGTATTATTTCTAGCGAAGACAAATAAAGATAGCGGTAATAACATTGACTTCTTGCTTTGAAAAGGGCTAAATTTAATGAAATACTCGTCAATTTTCGATAAGAGCGAGACAAAGCAACGTTGGGTGGTCAAGCTTTGTAAACAAAGTTATAATTCACAAGTACTGTCGAGAAAACGTCCAAAATGATCAAAACTTATTATTTGTTTCCGTGGCAATGATAAGAGATACGAGCAGGCAACAGAGCGAAGCGGCATAGTGTAAACACCCTTGATTTTGGCTTCGGTGTGAAAATTGATACAGTATGAATATCAATCCGGTATAGTCCGACACCGTCGAATTATGTGACGGTTTTCGTCGCATAATTCGACGGAAATGCGACGTTAATTTTAGACGTCGAATTTCCGTAACGTTAAACACAATACATAAATTACTATAATTATTACAATTATATTTTCTGTCCCACAATTCCAAACTTTTCTATTTCGTGTGTCCCACGAAAGCAAATTTGAAAACGCCGGGCGAGCAATCTTGTTCAGAAACAGTGACAAAATACAAGTGCATAACTTGTTTGCAATCGTCCAATGTGTTCTGTGGCAGAGAAAAACGAGGACATTGCAGGCTGGGTGGCAAATTCCAGCGTTTCTTATTGCAATGATTGTTTTTTTTCAAACGAAACCGCTCATGCAGCGAAGACTACGAATTGGATAACGAAGATATTGATGAACAACATGGGCTAAATGCCAAAAAGTAAAAGGAAAAATAATGGAAGAAGATCTTTATGGAAATCAGAATACGTCAACGATATGGTTGACATTATTACAAGCAGCATAGAATAAAGATCCATATAGAAGGGCCACTTACGTCGGAGGCTTTGAAGTTTCTGTCCTCGCGCATGTCGCATTACGCATGTTGGCCGCCATCTTCCTAGCCAGTCAATGACATTTTCTGGCCAATAAACACACTGTACTGGCTGGCTGCTCCGCCTTCTGGCCAGTAAACGGCATGTTTTTGCATAAAAAAACGAGGACACGTTGCACCGCTGAGTGGCCCTTCTGTTACTGATCTTTATTCTGTGCAAGCAGTGAGAACTTTAAGCGAAGGCTGATGTTTACAAACAACAAGAGGGCGACCAATGGCGAAGTTTATGGTCAAGTGTTAGAAAAAAATAAAAGAAAGACATGCTCTGTTCCCTTTCACAGTTAAGCAGGTGCGAACCAAGTTCAAGTGGTGTATAAGTACGTGCAAAAACGTTGCCTTGACTATACAAACAGCCACCGGTTTAAAGAGATTTGTTGAAGATAAAGGATGTGGTAAGTGGTTTGGTCTCTTGTTTCCATTAGTAAAAAGCAGAGATTCCTGTCAGCCAGAACAAGCGATTGAACCTTCCACCAGTACGGCCACGAGACCCACAAGTTCACGTTCAAGATCCTCAAGCACTGGTGCTAGTTCAGTGGATGATTTGGAAGATGGTGAGGATAAAGCAGAGGAAGACGTCAGATCAAATATGTTTGTCCCCATTAGAAAAAATAAAAATAAAAATGAGTCAGAGCCAGTAGGCTTGTCAGACTAAAATAATAAATATTTTTATTTTGGTTGTATCTCGCACAATATTGCATGTAAATTTAAGTGTTTTATATAATTATAAAAATCTAAGTTAGTCCATTATGAATGCAATGATCTTTATTTCCAATTTTTATGCACAAGTTGCTCTAACTTCGAGCAGCTAACAGTTGACTTCAAATTACGATTTGAAGTTTGCCGTTTGCGGTTAGAGGTTTGCCGTAAACGTCATTCTTAAAGTCCCTAATATATATATATAAATATATATATATATATATATATATATATATATATATATATATATATATATATATATATAAAAATATAATGGAAGGTGGTACTGAAATAAGTCACTAGGCTAAACGAAAGTTCAAATGCTGGTTAACCGAACTCAATTGTTGTAGAGAAGATAATTTTTATAGCTTTTTGAACAACCTTCCGTTTACAGTTAAAGACCATGTCAAGTCCGTTCTGCGCATCAGTTCTGCGCATCAGTTCATCAGGGGAACCCACAGATATAAACATTGCCCAAATTTTACATCTTTTGAAATTTTTTGAATTGAAACGTATTCTAGTTTATATTCATTTACAATAGCGAACCAGAAAAGTGTTAGATATTCAGTAACTATATGTCTTATTTTACAAATATAGCAGTACAAAATGTAAACAAAGGATTTGTTTACATTACGGACTTGACATGGTCTTTAATTAAGTATAAGTTTTTGCTGAATCATGCATCGTGACTTATTTCAATATATCGAAATCATCCCGCCTCATATCTCGTCCTGGCAAAGCGGGATCATATAAACAGCCCCTTTAGCCCCCTTTTTCAGCAAATTGCGCATGCTCCCTTGCCATTGATCACTTGGGGTGAGGCAGCACTTTTCTTGCGATAGTAACTTCTAGTTCTAGTACTGACTACATCGTATTTGTTTTATATGTAAATGTTTATAAAGACAATAAATAAAACACAAAATAGAGTAAAGTATTCATTAAAAAATAAAACTATAAACCATTTTTACAATTGGGTTTTAATTCCTGTCAATGACGGAGACTGTATGCTGAATACGGTTTTATTAAGACAACCTGTTGCATTCATAGTTTCACTATACATATGGTTGTTCAAAGGAAGTATTATAATCGTACCCCAGTGGATGCTATCTAATAACGATATGCACACATCAAATTATAATAGTTTCTACGTCACATACGAGTGTAAACATTGTTTTGAGCATCATTAGCTTGGGCATTTTATTGTCGCTGTGAATCTGATTTAAAGGGTATGACCAACAAAAAATTCTTGCAAAAAAGTTTCTTTTATCTGAAAGAGCCTGTGAAATGGTAATGGAACATATATTACAAATCTTTCGTATCTTTCTTCGTTATTGAAATACTTCAATGTGTTTGATATGCAAATTATGACGTCACAAGCTGGGTACAAAATTTTAAAACATTAAAACATCAGCTACATTCTGCAAATTGTTTCTAATATTTACTTGGCATTGTGTATATGACAATTCTTCATGACACTAACGTGGCATGTTGAGCAATCAATTGGATTTTTCAGATATTTTAATGTAGAAGAAGGCGCGAGACAATCGAGCATCAATACAGTCTGGTTAACCAAACCTTAGAGACCTCAAAACATGAACGTGATTTGGGTGTATGGATCTCCAACAACTTGACCTGGCGAAAACAAGTCTTGGAACAACGTTCAAAGGCAAATAAATTGCTGGGATTTGTAAAACGATCCACAAGAAACATCACCAGTCAATCAGCGCGTCGTACCCTCTACCTAACTCTCGTAAGATCTCAAGTCGGTTATGCAACGCAAGTTTGGTCACCACAGTCCGTTAAGCTCATCTCCCGATTAGAACGAGTACAAAGGCGTGCTTCAAAATACATCCTTGGCCTGCATTTTCTTTGCGAAGCCAGTTACGAGCAACGACTGAAGAAATTGAAGCTTCTTCCCATCAGCTATTGGCACGAGTACTTGGACATGGTGTTTTTATTTAAAGTAAGTTGTGGTGCCATAAATCTTCCGAGATCAGTCCTTCCTACGCAAAATCTGAACGTTAGAACAACACGATCTGTTCAACCAAACTGTCTCCAATTCCGCACGAAGAAATGCTATACAGCGACATACCAACAGTCGTATACAATCAGATCAACAAGGATCTGGAATACTTTACCAAAACTCATAATTAATAAATCTAATTCTTTATATACCTTTAAAAAATATTTACTTGACTACTACCTCTCTGCTTTACAACTTAATTATAACATAGATGATCCTCGTTCGTGGAAAACAATTTGTTTAAAGTGTAATCAGACTCATGATCTCACTAAACCTCTTGCATGCTGTTTTTAAACGATAATTTTTTAAGAGACAATGTGAATGCTTTGTATAGTTTAAGATAATTTGTTTGTTGTCTAATGGGATCACAGTAATTGGCCAAAAGCTGTCGTGAATACCCTGTCACAATTGTTGTAAATTGTTGTATTGTTAGATCTATAGTGCATTTCGAGTTATCTTGCATCTACGGTTTTCATGTCTGTTTTAGTCTGTTTTAATATGGTTTAACAGTTTGTTAGTCCTGGAAAACGATACATGTAAGGATAGCTCGGAATGTGTTATAGTCATTATAGTATTTAGATATGTAATTTATATTGTGACGAAGTTTATAAAATTAAAAAAAAAAAAAAAAATGTTTTAAAAATGTACCCAGCTTGTGACGTCATAATTTGCATATCAAACACACTGATATATCTTGGGAACAAAGAAAGATACGAAAGATTTGTAATATATGCTCCATTACCATTGGACGAGTTCTTTCATATGAAAGAAACTTTTATTATAAGAAATTTTTGTTGCTCATACCCTTTAACATCCTGCCGTTTTATGAGATCTCCGAGCATCGACACTATGCTATCAACCGCTCAGGTTTTTGTGTTGCTTTCCTCGATTATCTGCTTCACTGGCCCAGGTATATATCTGTTATATTTCTACATAAAGTAACTTAGTATATTGTTAGATTACTGCCTTATATGTCTAGAAGAAAGATATTTGTAATACTGTTGTATTTGACTTATCTCAAGTCATAGTCATAGATATCTGAATTAGCGTCTGCCGCACATAGTTGAAGAGGAAAATAATATAAAAATTGTACTCTGTCTGGTGTTGCTTTTGACTCAAGGAAAGCCATTGTCATTGTGTTGTCTGTGCTTTAGGGGTTAGGACGGTGTCTTTAATGAAGATTTTGAACGTTGTTAGATATTTAATATGTAGCAGATCTTGTGACTTGTATAAATAATACATCTAAAAAGTGCGGCAAAAAGAAAGGTCTTTAACTTTAGCCTGTAAAATACTTTGCCATTTAATCTTCTTTATAATACGGAGGACGAAAGGACTTACAACACATGCATCATGAGTGGCTCAAAGAAAACACAGTCTATTATAAAATAGCAAGGTAGTACTAGTAATCATGCCAATAAACAAAATATTATTCGACAAAATATTCTTAAATGTCTGTATTTGTTTTTCTGTATACTCAATTGACTAAATGCTTTCCGTGCGACACCATTTCGGCTAACAAATATTCCTACTTCCGTTTCAAACATTTTTGTGTAGGTAATAGCATGGTTTCGAGTGCAATTTGGATATAACATGCACGAGTGAGTTTTTCAAAGACCTCAAAATAGCACGAGTCCGAAGGACGAGTGCTATAATTTGAGGTCTTTGAAAAACTCACGAGTGCATGTCTTTCCAAATTTCACGAGGAACCATGCTATTACTTATTAATAATTTACATAAAAATGTTCGAGACAAATTCTAAAATTAAACGAGACTTACCTGTAAGTTGAAGATTGATTGGAATTCTGTGACTTGTTATGCAGGAACAAGGGGATCACATGAGATTGCGTAACAATTACCCAACATTCAGTCTTTAAAGAAACTGCCAAATATTGGTTTGTGGGCAGGGTTATACATAATAACATGAGGCGGGCTGTGACCCCCTTGTTCCTGCATAACAAGTCACAGAATTCCAATCAAACTTCAACTTACAGGTAAGTCTCGTTTAATTTTAGATTACGTCACAAGGAAATCACATGAGATTTTAAAGCCCAATGTTTGGGAGTGAAAACAGATAAACAAAGTGTATAAACAACAATGTAAATGCCGATAACATAAACTATACAAGCCTTAAAATAGGCAATAGCTCACAACAAAAATAATGTAATGTACTGTGAGAATTTTAACTAACTGTCTTTAGAACTGCTTCTGCAAACCTTGCCCCATTTTCAACTGGTTTGTTATAGAATGTCTGAAAAGTTGCACAATTAGACCATCCTGCACTACTGAGTGTCTCATCTATCGAAACTCCCGCTGCCGAAGTAGATGCCGCCCTGGTGCTATGTGGCTTGAACACATCGGTGTTGATTCCCGCTTTTTCCATAACCGTAATCCAACGTCGGATTGACTCTCCACTAACAGCTTTATATAGGGCTTCTGGTAACTAATGAACAATTTTGTTTCTGGTCCTCTGCCTGATTTTGTCTTAACTAAGTACGAGCAGAGGGTCTTGATAACACATAAACTCAAATCCGTATTGTAAGATGATAATTTGATTGGCTGCTGATGTACACCCGGTCGAGTATGCTTCAGAGGAGCCGTAATATATATAAGACAACCAGCATCGGTAAACAGTATATTCGTAATGTCCATTAGTGTTATTGTTTGTGTTCTTTGACCAGATAGCAATGCTATTAACATAACAAGTTTATGAGAATGTTCTTTAAGCGTGATTTTCTCAAGAGGGTATAATGTCTTGAGGTAAGTCAACACTGGGCCAACATCCCATGTAGTGTTATAGCGTGAAAGGGCTGGCCTTTCCTGGAAAACACCACGAAGAAATCTGCAGACCAGGGGATGCTGCCCCAAAGGTATGTTCCATGGTAATTAAATAATGGCAGATAATGCTGATCGAGCTGTAATCAAGCCACTATACTGAACTCCCTCATCAAATAGTACAGTAAACAAGTCCAAAATATCAGTTAGAGAGGGAGAAATCGGATTAACTTGCCTTTCACAACAGAAAAGTGCCCATTTTTTGAGGTAAGTTTGGTACTGCTGGACAGTTCCGCTTCGCCATGATTTGATGATGATGATGATGATGTGGGCAGCTTGGTTTGAAATGCCTTGACTTTGGAGTGATTTCCAGAGAAGTGACATGCCAATAGTCTGAGTTTCTGATGTAGTGGGTGCATCCTGTCCAGATTGTGATGTAAGTAAAGTAGACGTTGCATTTTGGGCAAAATCCGTGGGTGGTTGACCAACATTTGCATTGCCACAGGGTACCATGGTTGTGTAGGCCACAGGGGTATTATCAGTATACCCTCTGCTGATTCCTCCTGGATCTTTGGCAAAACTTTTGTTAACAGGCTAAAAGTTCATGCTGAAAGCGTTAACTGCTACTGCCTTAGGATCTGGCTCCCAAGAGACATATTGCTCTAACTTCTTGTTAAGCTGGGATGAAAACAAGTCCACTTGGGGCTTAAAAATTTTGACACAGATCCTATCAAAAGCTTGATCATTTAATGCCCATTCTGTATGGTCATCAAATTGCCTGGATTTTTTATCTGCTTCTACATTAGTGACACCTGGGATATGGGTTGCCGATACCCAGATGTTTTTCGGAATGCACCAAATCCACATATGTCTTACTATTGCATTGCATTCTGAGGACTGGTTTCCACCCATATTGTTCACATAAGCTACAGCTGTGGTATTGTCAAGTTCTAATCGAACATGTTTATTAATTGTTCGAGAACAAAAAGACTGCAATGCTAAAAGGGCTGCAGTTGTTTCTAACACATTAATGTGTGCCTTAGCTTCAGTTTCTCCCCATGTATGGGCCTCCTGCATGCTTTCCATCACTATATGCACCCCAGCCTAATAGTGACGCATCAGATTGAATGACCATATCTGGCTGGCTGGCCAGAGCAGGTTTGGAGGATGTCTCAATATTGGATATCCACCACTGTAAATCAGCAAGAGCATCTTGTGATAGGGTCATATTTGCTGCATAATTACCTTTTTGCAGTTTAAGAGCTTGGGTTTTATCCCTTTCTAAAGCCCGATAGAATAGCTATGCAAAGGTCACGGCTGGGAAACTAGCCACCATAAGGCCAATAACATGTGCAACCTCCTGAATTAAAGGTCTCCTCTTTGCTAACAAATTTATGCAAGCAGTTTTAAGCTTTGTGGCTCTTTCAGAGGTTAAAGAGACCGTCACGTCCTTAGAATTAAGCAAAAAAACCAATAAAACAAGTTGTTGTGCAGGGATGGTTACTGACTTGGTCTGATGGGGAATAAACCCTAATGAATCAATCATTGTGGTTGTGTCATGGACATTTGTCTTACAACCCTCAAAGTTGTCATGTATCCTGCAAGTACGGGTCGTCAATATACCCGAAGGAGATGTGCCCCTTATTCCGCAGTGATGCATAGGCTGGCTTCAAGATTTTTGTAAAAATACGTGGGGCTGAGGCCAGACCATTTGGCAGGCATGTATATTGATACAATTGTCCTCGCCAAGAAAATTTTAGATACTTCCTGTGATAAGGGCATACTGGTACAGTATAGTATAAATGTATAATATGCATCTTGCAAATCAATAGAGGCCATGAAGCAGCCCTATTCAGTATAAATGTATTGCAGTATAAATAGTGTCCATCTTAAAGTGATGGTATTCTACGAATTCATTTAATCTTTTCAAATTCAAAATTACTAGTCTAAAGGTCCCATCTTTTTTCGGGCGAAGAAAAATGGTAGAAATAAACTCCCCTGATCAGTTCTGGGTTAGTGGGCTCAATTACCTCTTTCATTAATAACTTGGTGATTTCATTATCAACAATGCACTCCTCAGAACTACTGACAGTTAGCTTTTTAGGTGACTGCAATTGGAATGGTTTCATTAGAAACTCAATTTCCACTCCCTGTATTGCTTTTAATATCTGTCTGAAGTAATTTTAGCCTACCAGCTGTGAAGGGTGGTATAGTATCATCATTAAATGAATATATGGTACTAACCTGTTTATCGAGTTTCACTGACTCTGTGGTTTGTAGTGGCTTTGGCCCCTTTTGTAACGTGGGAGGTTGTTTTGGGGCCTGAACCTCCCCCCGTCCATTTTTTGAATGCCGATTAAAGTTGTTTTGGTGAGCATAGCTGGGCCGACGAGTAGGTGTTGCAACCTTTTGGCTGACACGGTTTGTGGAAGCAATGTCCTGTAGTGTCTTGGCCACATCATCCCCAAAAAGCAACGTTGTAATCGGCACATGATCGCCACAGATTTGCTGAAATTTTTCATTCAAATCAGGCTTAATCAATGCTCGTTGCCTGTTATTGAGCTCTATATTTGCCTGAGCGACTAGGCTTACTGAGTCAAGTACCAGCTTGATGATTTTTCCTTTATCAGTCGACGTATCATCCGATTGTCGACAATTTTCAAGGAGCTGAACTAACGGCAGTAGCCCTTTCAGCAAGAGGCTTTGTACTTTCTGGAGACGTATGTCCCGAGATCTGGTTGAAGATTGTAGTTGTGCCCAGATTTCTGGATTAATCCGAGTAGTTTCTAGTGATTCACAATTTTGTGGTCTAGGGTAAGCGTTTTACTTTTCTTTAAGTTTTCCCTCGCTCAATTTTGAGCGCAGAGTTTTATTAATAACTTGGGCAAGCTTCTCGGACACATCAGGCCCCAACTGTTCTTCGTCCAGCTCTTGGACAACACTGTCCAAAATTGCGCCAAACTCTTTTTCATTGTCATTGCCATTTGCCAGAATTTTCCCCCTGGGGCTGGGACTCGCCAAGCAACACAGCTACGTCGTCGTTCTGTTCATCCTCGAGCCTTGCCCGTTTAGGGTCGGTTGTTTGGTCGCCGTCAGCCGAGTCCGGCGAGGAAGACCTTGATTTTTGGCGGGAGCGCTTGCCTCGTGATTTTTGTTGCATCAGATCTGTCAACAACTCGCCAAGCGAAGAAAAACCATCTTTAATGTTGCCCAATAGCTCCTCGAACTTCTCCTCCATATTGGATTGACTCTCGTGCCGATCGCCAGAAGGACTTTCTTGTGCATGTGTGGCCTCATCGCCTTCGAGCAGTCGTGCATCATCTTCGATTTCGCCCTCGGGGTCGGCCATGTTGAGTCCGTGGACGATTCCTGGGAATCGCACTGAATCCTCGAGCAAAACCACCAAATTATTGGTTCAAATTGCTCCGGAACAGTTGGTTTCGCTTTTAAGCGTTCTTTTGTAACGAATTCAATTAAAATTTTAAATATTTTTCAATAATTTTGGGCACAGAATTTTCTGTACCCTCACTGAACGCCGAATTCTGAGTGTATATCCACACCGGGCAAGCTTAAAAAATATGCCTGACCACGGTGGGAATCGAACCTACGACCTTTGGAATACTAGCCCAATGCTCTGTTCCGAAATATCACATACTCGAACCGACCTGACCTGGCCTATACACTCAGAGTAACATCACAAACATCATATATTCACCTGAGTACATGACACCATCACAGAAAATTGGTGTAAGCTTTGTTAGTCTTGTTTCAGGTAAAGGCTTTTCCTTTTAAAAATGAAGATAAAAGCCATATTTTTCACGCGAAGTCAACTTTTACTTTATGTAGCGCGGTGCCATGTTTGTTTTGTTTTGAAGCAATATCACAGAATAAAAAATAGACCAGACATCTCACTGACACTGTACACCTTTCCCTAAATCGCTAACATTTTTGTGTCCGCAATTTTCGCCTTGCCAATCACGAATTTCGCACGCTAAATGACGTGTGTGACACTTGCTTTAACAATTTGTTGTTGTATCACCCTATTAGATCGTTTTTGTTATAAAGTATAAAGTTTAACCATTTACCTATCTGTCTATCTTAGTTTATAGACTATACAGTTAGAATATTTTACGGTCATTTTACATAAGGGAGTGTTCATTATTTATATCCAGGGTTGGTACCGAAGAGAAACTAATCGAAAAGAGAAAAAAACAACCACCCACCCTTTCGATCAACCATTTTTTTCCATACCCAACTATTGCATGATTTGGATTATTATTTTACCATTGTCATTTTTAAGCCAAGCAGCAGGACTATTTTAATGTACCTGAAATGAACACCTGAAATGAACATTGCATGGTGCCAATGTGCCGTACATCATTGCTTCTATAATACTGTTTGCAATCAAAAACCCTGAATGCAAACAAGTTGATGGTATTCCATGTATAAAATACCTTGTTGTATCATTATTTTAACCATGCATGCTTTTTCCTGGCCATATAATAATACAAATTTGAATCTTATAATTATATCAGTTTTGTATCTAAACATCTTAATATTTTTAAAAAATAGGTACGCAACGCGTACATGTATCTGCGAAAAAACTTGATTCACATTTTCATCACTTATTATAATAAATATAATAGCAAATAAGATTTTAAAGTCAAACATAGTACAGATCAAACAAGGCTGTAGACAGCACCACAGAATAAGAAGGTACAGCAGAAGTGGTAACTCAAGCAATTATTTGTCCGCGTTTTTACAAGTGATTCGTCATCAATCACGCCATCCTGGCTAGTACAACCGGCACTTTGCACCTACCAAAACCTGATAAAAACTTCCGGTTGTACTAGCCAGGATGGTGTGAGCGAGTTAAAATTTTCATGGACGTAAAACAATAAGGGAACCGACTCGAGTTACACTTCTGCTGTACCTTCTTATTCTGTGACAGCATGGAGGGCAGCAGGGGCAACTCAACCCCCCCCCCCAAGAAAATTTAACTAATTTTATGTGATTACGATTGGGTCATTCCAGAAAACATCCATACCACCCCCACAGAGGAAATAGGAAGTTAACCCCCCTACTCCCTTCGCATGTCCTAATACATTTACTATTATCAGAAACAAATTTTTCTCCCCTCCCCCTCCGGACGGCAGAAATTTCATCTGTGGGGGGAGTACAGATCTTTTCTGGAACGACCCATTGTAACTCGGATAATTATGTAGTCAAAACATAAAAATTTCATGCAAACAATATTCGAAGTGTCTATTTAGTAAACTGTCACTTGTCAATCCATACCCATTTTCAAAATTTTATTGTAATCATACGAAGCAGAAGTTCTGCACTTGTTGTTTACACTTGCCAACATTAACTGTTGAGTAACATACACAAACTATTCAAGGAACATGCATCACTGTAGTGTAGCGAAGAGTCAATCATATATCAAAGACCACTGAATAGCAGAGAATGTTTTGAAGGTCATGAGTGAAGTATATAATTCAATTCCAATCCTGTGCACAGTTAATGATATACCACACTGTTCGGTTTAACACAGCATATTCACACAAAAACAATTTGTGTTGTGGGACAATATCAGTTTGAGTAGAAGGTATCACAAGTTTAGTTTTGTACATATTGTGTGCCATTGATCTGATCCATCCATATAGTATATAATTATTGTAGCTGTCAAGTTATTATCCATACCAATGAATTTAGGTAAGATTGTCTTGCAAGTTGGTTGTTCTGACAAAATTATCCAGCCAATATCCAGTACATTTATTCATCATTCTTGCATTAATCTCTAAACAAAAACATTTATGTTAGAAAGCAAAATAACAATATAATGAGGTGGGAGAGTGGGGATTCTTTAATTAGCATTTGAAAATGTTTGTAAACATTTTGTTTAAAAACTCTAATCACTGTTAAACCAAAATGTATAAGTATTTTAACTGATAACATCGAACAGAGTTTACTACAGAAATACAGGACCAAGATTTAATTCAATATCTCCTGAGAACATTAGTTTCTTGTGACATTGTTCATTCTCATTTCATATTGACAAATATATTGCCTGCTATGTTTTGACTGTTTAAAATATTACACAACAAAATGATTGTTTTACTGTATAAATACATAATAAGATAATAAATATGTCGTATTTGACTACTTACCAGATGAGGATAAGTTTCCATGTCGATAGTAACTTCGGAAAATAGCGCAAACAAGACAAAATCAAGATATTTTCGAAGCCCAAATGTGAAAATGGCAAAGAATAACACGAGGCCAAACGCCGCCGGGCACGATGTAAACAATTGATGTAAACGAATCGCTGATTGGCTTAAATTGTCTTAAATTATATAAGCCCGTCGCTGAATGGCTACGTGCTAACATACGGTACGGTACGTTTGCGATAGCATATATATCTGCTTCGCAGATACAAAAATAGGTACGCAAGGCGTACATGTATCTGCGAAAAAACTTGATTTACATTTTGTATTTTCTTGAAAGAAACTGAATAATGAAGATGACATGGGACGATTGAAATATTTCATCACTTATTATAATAGCAGATAAGATTTAAAACAGGGCTGTACACAGCGGGGAGGGCGGCAGGGCAAGTGCTCTCCACCCCCGCACCGAGAAAATTTAACTAACTTTATAATGTGATTATGATTGTAACAGATAATTATGCAGTCAGGAAATAAAAATTTCATGCAAACAATATTCAAAGTGTCTATACAGCAGGCTATTTAGTAAACTGTCACCTGTCAATTCAATCCATACTCATCAAATTTTCAAAACTTTATTGTAATCATATGAAGCAAAAGTCATGTCACTTGTTGTTTACACTTGCCAATGTTAACTGTTGAGTAACATACACAAAATATTTGGTGAACATGTCGAAGACCACTGAATAATTGAGAATGTTTTGAAGGTCATGAGTGAAGTATATAATTAAATTCCAGTTCTGTGCACAGTTAATGATTTAATACCACACTGTTCGGTTTAACACGTACAGCACACTCACACAAAAACAATCGTGTTGTGGGAGATTATCGGTTTGAGTAGAAGGTATCACAAGTTTAGTTTTGTACACTGTGTGCCATTGATCAAATCCACCATATAATATATGATTATTCATTGTAGCTGTTAAATTATTTTCCATACTAATGAATTTAGGTAAGATTGTCTTGCAAGTTTGTTTTTCTTACAAAATTATCCAGCCAATATCCAGTACATTTATTCTTCATTCTAGTATTAATCTCTAAAGAAAAATATTTATGTTAGAAAGCAAAATGACAATGTAATGAGGCTCAGGAGGGTGAGCATTCTTTTATTTGAAAATGTTTGTAAAAATTTTGTTTAATTAACTCTAATGTGTAAAACCAAAATGTATAAGTATTTTAACTGATAACATCTTCAACCTTTGCTCTAACAATACATTTGATGACAGCTTTATAGTTGGACTGTTGTTTTGAACAGAGTTATGGAGTCAATATACAGAAATACAGGACCAGGATTTAATTCAATATCTCCTGAGAACTGTCCAATAGGTTCCTTTGATATTGTTAACTGGCAATATTGCCTGCTATGCTTTCACTGTTTAAAATATTACAGAAGTCACAGAAGGATTGTTTTTAATACTGTATAAATCTTTTTGTGAACTATGTTGACAAATGGCTTAAAATATCCTCGAAAATATCCAATATTTTATACAGTGTATTATATTAATAAAAAATTCCAGAGTGCATTCCATGTAAACTCTACGCCGAAGATACGGCAATATTAACTATAGATAGTATAGTAAATATTTGCCGAACTGGCGAACTCATGTATTAATATAAAGTATGTGGGACATATATTTGCACAAATTTGGTATTTAAATATATAATATGTGGTATTTGACTACTTACCAGATGAGGATAAGATTCCATGTTGATAAATAACTTCGGAATAATATCGCAAGTAGAGAAAACAAGACAGTCAATTGCCCAATTCAAGATAAATTGATAAAAATATCAAGATATTTTTGAAAGAATAACACGATTTATACACGAGGCCTGACGAGGCTAAAGTATGCCCGTTCGCAGGTTAGATGCGGGCACGATGTAAACAATTGATGTAAACTGATCGCTGATTGGCTTAAATTGGCATAAATTGGCTGAATTATATAAGCCCGTCGCTGAATGGCTAGGGATACGGTACGGTACGGCACGTTTGCGATAGCATATATATCTGCTTCGCAGATACAAAAAGTACAAAGTATCCTTAAAAAATACTTGAAGTACAAAGTAAAAGGAAAAGTACTATTGTCTATAGTCTGTAGGGGGGGGGGGACCTTTTCCCGAATGGATTCACATACAAAAGACACAAAACAGCTCACGCATTATATGCGTGCACCTATATACAATACTTCACGGCATGATCTACTTTCCAGACCCCGTTGAAGAAATCCATTAAATAAATAACAGACCTCTCAACTTTGCAGAGAAGTTAAGAGTGAGATTGGGGATGTGGATGACACCGAAAGGAAAAAATTAGGGGGCCGAAAAGAAATTTGCCCGACTTTTCGGGATTGTGTCTGACTAGTACCGAAAAAATTTTTTCCGGAAAAATTATTTCAGCGACCTCTCCCCCCCCCGTCGCCAAAAAAATTTCGGTCAGTGTACCATTTTAGGGGTCAAAAAAATTTTCCGGACAACCCATATTTTTCCGAACATACACAAAATTTTCGAAAAATCACAAAATTTGCCAAAAAATTGACTTAATTTTAGACAAAATTTACAGAATTTGTCACATTTTTTTTTATTGCAAGCCAAAATTGCCCGACTGTTGATCGAATATTGCCCGACTGCCCAAAACGCCTATGCAGATATACCAAAATTTTTATGCGTTAGATTTACTAAACGTGGCGTGAGAGAGAGCGTGAGACTGAAGCGAATTGCGTGAGACTCACGCCGAATGCGTGAGAATTGAGAGGTCTGGCGTGAGAGCGTGAGACTGAAGCGAATTGCGTGAGACTCACGCCGAATGCGTGAGAGTTGAGAGGTCTGAAATAATGCTTATAAGTATGCCACAAACGAGAGATCCCAGACGCATGTCGGCATCTGTGCAAGTCCTATTACCTATCCCAAAATTAAAATAAATCGGGAATAAATCAAGTAAAATTAATCAAACTTTAATAGAAAGTAACAAAATAAGTTTTGCCACAAAATAAAAATAACGAAGTAAAACTTTACTTCTTAAAACGACTTCGTTCCAAGTAAAAGTACTCCGTTCCAAGTAAAAGTACTATTTTGTTACATGCTGACTTCTCAAAAATAGTACTCAAGTACAGTAACAAAGTACATTTACTTCGACTCATCGTTACACGACACCACTGCACGTACTATATTTAATCATGTTAGTTCTGTGAGGTCCAATTTCAACATTCGACTTCCTGATCAATGTCAGAAAATAGGTACACACAGCGTACATGTATCTGCCTAGACTAAAAGTCGAAAGTAGGTGTGGTAAGGGAAGGTACACCCTAAAGGAAGTTTTCGTATAGCAAGTCTTATTTGCGCATTGACCGTGTGTACGTATAGCAAATTTTGTTTGACAAGTTTTTATTTTTTGCTGCCACAATAGCCTCTACAACACATTGCTGTCCATGCCAACACTATCAAAGTATTAAGTCTTAACTATGTTAAGAATTCAAACAAAGTTCTGCACCCTAGTCTTTCCTGGACAGTGACCAGTTCGAAAACTTGCTGTGATGAAATGCGCAAGGTTTTCTCAAAATTCCCAAACTTAAATTTTAGTGGAAACTTAGTACTCAGCCTGCAAAGTCACTCTCAGATTTCAAGTGGTACAGCTTTCTCTCTCACTCGTTGTAGACAAGCATGGTTTCAGAGGACCTTGTGCTGCATTTTTCGCAGTCATTCCTGGTTAGGTCTTAAAATGCATATATTCTCACTTGGATTACAAACCCTAACATTCTAATATTAATTCCACCAAGTGAAGTGCAAGAATCCAAATCATTGAAGTCCACTTTATCACAACCCGCACACCCGATTACCTATATATACATGAACTTACGGTTACAGCTCAACAGCTGGCCTCTGTAGCTCAGCTGGTTAGAGCGCTGCACCGGAATCACCTGTAGGGCCGTAGGTTCAATTCCTACCAGAGGACCTTGTGCTGCATTTTTCGCAGTCGTTCCTGGTTAGGTCTTAAAATGTATTTATTCTCACTTGGATTACAAACCCTAACATTCTAATATATTAAATATGATAGCCTAGTAATAGCCCTGCTTAACCACAGGTGGCCCAGGCTCTGTGTGGGTATTTATTTATTTTTTAATTTTATTATATTTGCATTAAACATGTACTTTAAATTATAAAGTATAACTTATTTAGTTTCTTTTATGTATTATGTGTGATTTGGGGTGGTTTTAGTTTGATATAATGATATAAAAACATCATGAGAATGTGATATGATGTACACAGTACATTTAATTGCATGTTAATTAATTAATAAATCAGGACGGTTGAGGAGAAATATTTTAACGAAAGGTGCAGTTACAAAGTTCGAAAATTCCAACTTTAACGGTTTGGTTCCAGGGCAGATCGACTCACAAGTGCGGAGAAAATACTTTTGTTTACATAAAGTTGTTCTAATTCTTCAAGGAAAAGTGAGGGAAAGGATTTTACAAGTTGGAAAGAATGAATAAACATAGACAGGGTTCGTAGTCTCCAAGACCAAAACAATTTAAAGACTATCACAGATTTTTTCTGTCTAGTTTCAAAGAGATTTCAAAGACATTTGAGAGCAATCAGCTGTCGAAAAATTGTGAGTATAAGCACCATTTTTAATTCCGTCAATTCACATCCTAAAATGCGCCTTTTCGTCGATATTTGTGAAAATCTTGCTTCCATCAATCTATTTTATTAGCCAGGAAATCATTTTTAAAGACTTTCTTTGCTTTTCCACACAATTTAAAGACTTTTCAAAGACCTGCATTCAAATTTAAAGACTTTCAAAGATTACAAAGACCGCTACGAACCCTGATAGATATGTATAGCCGCGGCTTTAGAAGTGTTTTGTTGAAATTGCTGTCTTGCCCAAGTTCGCCCGGCATTATAGCAGCCCACTTGTATACTTAGTAAAAGGTAATATTAGATGATATACAATATAGGCCAGGTTCAACGAAATGGCCTGAAAATCGACAAGAGTGAAGTAAATGACATAGTAAACAACTAAGTCAACCAATATTTTGAATCAGAGCGTATTTAGACTATTTTTAACAATAATATAAAGTGTACATCATAATGCATTCTCAGGATGTTTTTCTATCATTATATCAAACTAAAACCACCCCAAATCACACATATTAACACATAAAGGAAACTAAATAAGTTATACTTTACAATTTATAGTACATGTTTAATGGGAGTCTGGGCCACTCTGGTTTGACTTAGAAATGTTTCTTAATCAAAATATATTTAAAAAATTTCCCCCCCAACTTTTTTAACTCTCAAATTGTTTATTATACATTTATTGGTTAGGGTCAGAGAAGGGTTAGGTGTTGGGGTATAACCCCCTATATCTGTTTATCTTGAATAATCTGACTGCAGTACAGTACGAAGAGCAAATCAAACTTTGCGTACTGTTCCAGTACGACTGTACGAATAGCCACTTCGTATTATTATTGTCCTCTGTCTCTCCATTTCTAATTTCGAACAACTCTTCCAGTAGTTCGTCCAAGAACGTGTCTGCTGTCGTCGACAGCTGACAAAAATTCTCGATTAAAAATATGAATGATGAAACGAGCTTCGCTCAACAGCAGGGTTGGCAAATGTTCTTATATTAGTTGTTCTTATATGTTCTTATATTATATAAGAATATTTTTTGGGAGGCAAAAATGTTCTTATATTTTCTTATATTATTCTCATTAATTATTCTACTTCGAAGTAGTAAATTTTAACTATTTGACATTCATCCTGAAAATAAAATATACAGATAATAGTCGTATAAATGCAGCAGTAATAACTATTTTTATAATTTTTAAAGCCAAGAGGTTAGAGCAACATCTAAAATTGAAGTTGAATCGTCATTTTAGGATTTTGGATGATTTATTAATATGACGTCATCAAAGTTTTTGAAAATGTTCTTATATTGCAAAAAATGTTCTTATATTAATATAAGAAATAAGAACATTTTATTTTTGAATAAATGTTCTTATATCCAACCCTGCTCAAAAGCGTCGCAAATAGCCAAATATGTGAAGTCTTCAACAGGAAGACTGGGTTTATATTAATATGGCGACAGTGACTAAACGAAACTCGTCTCAAAACAACCATAAAACAACGTAAAACTACAAACTTGTACGAAGTTTGTATATTACATACCTAATTCATTATCAGTTGAGGTACTAGAACTACCAACTTTCTGCTTCTTATTTGGAGGTCCGTCAACTTGTTGTTCAGCCATATCTAGTAGATATTACACACCGATAATGTACAGCACAATCACAGCAAAATTCCTTTAAATATTAACTTCGCAACTCAAACAAAATATGCAGAGGAATGCAGAGCAAAATATGTGTCGATACAATTGTGTTTATTTGTTTCATCACGATGAAAATTATGTTGATTTTTTATTTTTTTCGATAAAATCATGTCCACTACTTCATGTAATTCAAACATTGTATTACACTGACTGACCATAGTAGCGTGGGCTCATACTGGAACGCTTGACTCACTGAGCTATATATAGCCACTGAGCTGTATAATAACTGGAGAATCTGCTCCTATAATAACTGGAGGATCTGCTCCTATAATAACTGGAGGATCTGCTCCTGCTCATTATGTATGCCAATGTCGAGGTAACAACCTCGACATTGGCATACATAATGAAGTCGAAAGGTCAATCATTATTGAAGGCGAAGACTTCTCAGCTCGTAAACTCAATTCAAGCTCTCAAGTAATTGACTTATCAACGCAACCAAATCAAAGTTTAATCTGCAGTGAACTTGTAGAGAAAATAAAGGATTTGGAACTGGACTTTAACATCAAAATCAGTGCGTTAACGCAAGAAGTATCTAGTATACAAAACAAACGGAAGGCGTATGCTAACGAGTCGCTCCTCCACGAAAATCGAGAATTAAAGGATGAAAACAAATCCCTGCTGCAAAAGGTCGCTAACTTGTCCTTCATAGTATCCGATTTAAACACCAAACTTAAAGAATCTGAAAATGAAAAACAGTCTTTAGTCACAGTCCTTAAGTTGGTGAATCTAGACCAAAGTACCCACGATCAAAATTCTCATGGGACCTGGAAAACGCAGTGCAGAAGCATGAATAAAGATCAGCATTTGTCTACTCGTAGTCAAGATAGTGAAGTTGTTACGAGAAACGCGTTTGATGTCCTGAGTGATACGGGCGGCAATGAAACCAACATTTATGATTATGACGACGATAGAAGCAAAGTCGATGACCTCAGCTCTATAGCTACTTCGCAACGAGAATCCCAACGATCGATCGCAGACAATGAGTCCTCAAATAGCAGACCTGCCAACAAGTCAACTAAGCATCAACAAAAGCGGCATGCTAATGGATCAAGTAATCAGCACAATGCAAAAGATGGCAAAAAGAAATTAGTCTTTATTGCCGGGGACTCTATTGTTCAGAATGTGCATGGCTGGGAGATGTCTAATACCGACAGAACTGTTGCCGTAAATCTTTCTCAGGAAGCAAAGTCAATGATATGCAAGACTATTTGAAACCATTGCTTCGTCGCAACCCACATCAAATAATTCTCCACGTTGGTACAAATGACATTAAGTCAGAGAAATAATAATAATAATAGACGGTATATTTAAAATACAATCGCACTAATACAAGTAATAGTGAATTATAGTATTTTTACAAGCATAAAATTATGAAGACTACTGTTACTTTTTAAAACTAGGAATTGGAGTTACATAAAAATGGAAATTTAGATTGTAAACCTAATTGACAACGGTCATGACTTGTTCATAGTACGTGAGCACATAGCTGGGAAGAAACTGTTCTTAAATCTGTCCGTCCTACACTTAAATAGGCTAAGATTACTAGAGTGGCGCAGTTCTCTGCCATGCGACTCAATCCGGATCGGAGGTAAAATGCGGTTAAGGCGTGATGATGGTATTGTTATTTTATCCAAAACCTTCTTACAAAGAGTATCACGACGATCGGATAGACGGGGAAGAGAGGAGGTAGCAAGCGCGGTTGAATAGGACATGTTTGGATATAAAATCCGTAGAGCACGACGTTGAACCCTCTCGATTTTGTCGGAAAGGTAGGAGGGGATAGATGTATTCCAGGCTGCACAGCAGTATTCTAGCACAGATCTGATAATCGAAATGTAGATAATCAGGAGGTCGTTGGCAGACACACCGGAGTTACGCAAAACTCGCAAAATATGAAGTCTCTTTGAAGCTTTGGACGTGATAGAGTCAACATGGGCGTTCCATTTTAGATCGTTTTGTAAGGTGACTCCTAGCAGTTTAAAACAGGTGACCTTCTCTAAAGGTTGGGAGTTGATCGACAATGTAGAAGACAGTTCTTGCGGGGGGTTGCGAAGAAAAGAGATGGTAAAGTCCTTGCACTTTTTAGGGTGTAATTTCATGTTATTACTCATCGACCAGGCATTAATAGAGTGGAGATCTTGTTGTATTCCAGGGGGGGAGTTACGATGGGTGGCTTGGGAGATGGTAACGTCATCAACAAACATCCAATTACTAGACCTCAACGGAGAATGGCTGGCAAGGTCGTTGATCATTACGAGGAATAGGATAGGGCCAAGCTTGGTACCCTGCGGGACACCGGCAGTAACAGGAGCCCAGTTAGAGGTAAATTGATTAACTTTTACAGACTGCATCCGACCAGACAAAAAGCTACAGATCCACGGGATCAAGGCTCTTCGTACGCCGAAGTTGATAAGTTTCGAAATGACGATGTTGTGGTCGATCCGATCGAATGCTTTACAAAAGTCAAGGAAGCAAACGCGGATGTATTTTCCAGGGTTATCGAGGTGATTTAGCCAGTTATGAAGGATATCGAGAAGGCAATAAGTAGTGGAAGTGCCTTTTAAACAGCCAAATTGCTGGGGGTCGATTTTATGACCTAAGTCCGAAATGATCTAATTTACCACAAAGTCCTCCAATACTTTGGAGAGACAGGGAGTCAAGGATATAGGTCTAAGGTCACCTTCATCAGAAACAGGCTGAACTTTTGTTATAGGTATTATCTCAGACTTTTTCCAAGCAGTTGGGGTGACTCCTTCGGAAAGAGAAACGTTAAAAACCCGTGCAACTGGTTTCGAGAGCTCGAAAGAAAATTCCTTTAGAATACGTGCGGGGATGTGATCAGGGCCACTTGCTTTGTAGGGGTTAATCTTGACCAATTTGCTCTAGACTTCAATCTCAGAAATCTTTGGAAGGGGTTCTTCCGCTGGGAGGAAAGCAGGTATACTGTTTATGTCCAAAGGGTAGATGTCTTCGTTAACAGATAGAAAAAACGTGTTTAAATGTTCAGCAAGCTCGAAGTCGGTTAAAGCTAACCCGTCCTTCTCGATTGTTAAAGGTTGCGACTTATTTCGTCTTCCTGATAAGCTATTCACAAATCTCCACCATTTCCTACAATCTTCATTCTTAAGGTGCTTAACCTTATCTTCGTAAATGCTTTCTTGCGTTTGGAAATTTCTTTCTTAACTTTATTTTTATAGTGCCTCCATAGGACTGGGTCATTATTATTGAATGCGTTCTGTCGTTTCTGGATTAAAGACTTGATGGCGTGTGAGATCCATGGTTTATCGGTTGTGTGTAACTTGGTGGACTTTAGGGGAAAGAAAATGTCAATAGCGGTAGTAAGGGTAGATGTCAGAGAATCGGTTAGATTATCGGCTGAAAGCTGGACAACATCAGCAAACCAATTAACGCCACAGATCCACCGTCCAAAAGCGTCAAGCCTTGACCGTAGAAAACGACGGGAATAGCGTTTGGGTAAAGACCCAGTGTCGTTATTCAGATATCTAGCTTTAGGGGTCCAATGTACGATGTTGTGATCCGATGTGCCTAGGGGGGCAAGTATGGCAGGATTCTCGTAGAAATTGCAGGTGTTACAAATGATTAGATCTAAGGTATTAACTCCCCGGGTTGGGTTATCTACAACCTGAATCAAGTCGAGGTTCGAGGTG